ATCCCAGTTTCTGATTCTCTGTAGTATTTCCTATAAGGTTTGGTTTTTGTTCATGAATTCTCTATCTATGCCTATGTCTTTAAAATTTCTACCTACGTTTTTCTCTCGGAGGTTTAGTGTTTCTGCTTTAATGGTTAAATACTCAATCCACTTTGACTGTAGTTTAGTGCATGGTGATAGACATGGGTCTAGTCTTCAGCATGTGGAATGCCAGTTTTTCTATCACCATTTATTAAAGGGGTATCTTTCTTCCAGTGATGTATTTGGCTATTTTGTCAAAGATACAGTGGCTGAGTGTGTATGTAGTTGTGTCTGCATCTTCTACAGACATGTTCCAATGATCATCAGGTATGTGTTTTTGTCACCATTATGCTGATTTTATCACTGTAGCTTGATAGTATAATTTCAGGAAAAGGATTGTGATACTTCCTGCCTTTCCTTTGTTTCCCAGGTCTCCTTTTGATATTCTGGTCTCTTCTGGTTGCAGGCGAATTTTAGGAATGTTTTCTCTAGCTCTGTGTGGAATAATGGTATTTTAATCAGGAGTTCATTGAATCTATATAACAATTTTGGAAGCCTGGCCATCAGCCTTTCCCAATGTTGGTTCTTCTTACTCAGGAGCAAGGAATGCCTTTCCATTTTCTCAAATCCTCTTCGATCTTTTTTCTCAGAGTACTGTAATTTTCATTGTATAAATCTTTTATACTCTTTGTGAGATTGATTCCTAAGTCTGTCTGTCTGTCTTTCTTTTCTTTTGTTCTCTCTCTCTCTCTCTCTCTCTCTCTCTCTCTCTCTCTCTCTCTCTCCCTTCCTCTTTCTTTCTTTCTTTCTTGATTGTTATTGGGAAAGGTGTAGTCTCCCTAATTTCTCTTCAGCCTTCTAACACAAATGTGCATTGCTGTTCTACTGAAAGCTTCCAGACCTTGGACACTGGGCTGGGCTGCACTGTTGATGTCTCTCATTCTGTGTTATCATTTTCTAGGGCAAGGAATCTATTGAATCATTTGTTATACATTACACAGATAGACACTGTGGATTCTTCTA